TTTTCCTGCCTGAAACAGGGGCTTGCCCAGCTACCGATGACACCTCAAGTAAAAAGACTTACCTAAGGTGGCCTGTCTAAGGGTCGTCGCAGCCCCGAAGCAGCTTTACCACGTGTTATTTTATTCCTCCATCTCTCTACGCAGGTTAGGGTAGCTATCGAAAAGCTTTCTGGCGTTAGGCACTGGTTTCCCATCAAGACTGGGAAATAGAAATATCCCGGTATAGTCCACACCGTGGTGTGGAGCAGAAGATGCTCTTTGCAGGGCACACCAGTGGCAGAACAACTCACCAAACCCCGCTGCGGGGTGAGCTTGGAGGCTGGGAGACCAGCCACAAAGCAAAACTGTGCAAAAAGAGCAGTGCAAACCAAGAAAGACCAAGATGTTCAAGACAGATCAAGTAAGGCGCCCTAGGGATGGGAATAAACTCTAAAAACACAGAGAAAACTAATGCTCCTGCTTCAGGGAGGCACGGAGTTAACCACTCCTTGAAAAAGTTCACCACCAGACCTCCTCGATGCCACCCCTCCTCCAAAACCAAACCTTTTCTTGTACAAAATCCAAGATGTTCTTGAAGTCAAGGTCATCATAGTAGTGTCTGATGCCCTCTTGGATGTTGGAGTGGAAAACTGCGTTCATCTGGCGACAGAGAAAAAACAAAACCACATCTCACGTGGAAAAGGCAGTGGGAAAATATTGCAAAACATGAAAATGTTTTCATAGCAAGCATTGCGAGCTGTTACCAGAATACAAATTTAACCCACATGCTGGCACAAGCCTATTCCTTGGGACAAAAATCATCATTTTTGAGGTCTCAGGGTCAGCAGCCTCCCGCAGCACCTCTTGGCTTCCTGCACAAGCGAACAGATCCACACACCTTTACCCACCCGATTTTTCCTATTAAATGTAATTATTAAGAGAACTTCTTTGAAAGCTCCCTCAAGCTCTCCAGTCCCACTGCCTAACAGGATTGTAGCCACTGGTAGGGGGGTTTCTGCTGCATTAGGAGGGGCCGGAGGAGGTGAAATGGGCTGTGACAGCCAACACCGCAGGCTGCACGGTGGATTATCCGTGGGACGAGCCCCGTGCAGGAGCAGAGACCTCATCGGGGCCCTCAGTCGTTCCCAATCCCAGCAAATCATTCAGTAATTCAATCATGCCCTGAAAGGGAACGGTGCAGCCAGGCTGGGGCTCTCCCTGCTGCTCCTTCAGCCGAGGACGCTTTGACACATCAGGCACTTCACATTAAACTCTAATTGAATCGAAAATGTATTTTACAGATGCCTGGGAAGCTTATTAGCGAGCTGGGAGCGGAGGCTCAAAATGTCCTATGCAGCGCCTGGCGCAGGTTTGCCATTTGGCTCCTGACAAACCACCAAGCAGAAACATTAATGAAGCAAAAAGGAACTTTTTTCTGAGTTAGAAGCAGGGGAAAGGGGGGGGAAAGAAAACGTTGTTTTTCATAATTCACTCTGACATGAAAATTAGAGGTTGGGCAAACCGGGAACGGGGAGAAGAATGTGGAAAAAAGAGAAATGAAGGCACATCAGAGTGGCAAACAAAGCCTGCCGACAGCAAGGGATCAGGCACGGGGAGTTGAAAAAACCTTTAAGAAATTGCTCATGTGGAAGTTTATTAAAACGTTAATTCCTGCTTTGCCCACCGCTAAGACCAACACAACGGGCAACGCCCGGGTTTTACTGTTTTCTGCTTGTTTTCCCCCAGACAGGCTCACCCCACAACCCTACTGCTCCTTGAGAAGATGCCAGCCTGGAGGGAAGCCTCTGTAATTAAATCTTGATTATCAGGTGGGAGATAAATGTCGCAGGGTTAAATCATTCAGTTCTGGTTATGAGACCTCTCCACTCCCTTCCCTTCAAGGACGCCAAGTCCGTTATCTCAGATAATCTCCAAAAACCCATTTGCATATCAATGTTCAGTAGCTTCGAGGCCACTAAATTCATTCCTCATCCCCGCTTATTTAATACAAAATCCAATTAAATATGTTTTTAAGAAGTTTAATAAACAACCATTGTTCCAAATGCAGATTTTTTTGCCTCCGAACAATTTTAGGCCAAGCGGATTCATCGCTTGTTGGATCTCTCTTTTCTCTCTCCCTCATTGTTTGATTTTTAATTAGGTTTTCATATTGCCTGTTAAATTTAAATTAAGGGACAATTTAGGCGCTAATGGCTTCTACTCAATCCAGTTTAATCACAAGGTTGCAGTCCCCTCTCCTGATGGTACCGGCGTTTCCCCCTTGCATCCCTGCGGTGCAGGATGGTGCTGAGCACCATCACTGATGCTCAAAGGCGGAGCAAAGCAGAGGACTTGATGCCGAATTTCACAAAAATACAGCTTCTATGTGGCAGCACATACTGATTTTTGGACGGGAAAGACTCAAGCAACAATGTTTTCCTCAGAGAGGCACGTGTCTCCACCGGTGTACGGTATTTTTCAGGGATCAGAGGGCTCTGAAGAGCTCTGGGAAGGTGCTGGGGGGAGTCGGCTGCAGCACCCAAAGGGCAACATCCTCCCCCATTGGCTCCCTTCGTGTCGGGGCTCCCCAAGCACGTAACTCCCAACCCCAGCCTGGAGGGGTTTGAAAGCATCAGGCTGTCTGTGCACAGGGGAATCGGCTCTCAGAGCCCGTGAGCAGGGATTTCAGATGCTGTTCTCCTGCCCTGTGCACTCACCGAGCCAGCCGAGACCGAGATTAGCTATTTCATCGTTTGATCGATGGCAAGGGTAAGATTAAATTGAAAATGGCAGGGTTTCTCCAGCAGAAGGTGGGCAGCCAGAAAGGACATCCGTAGGAAGCACTTACCATCTCGCCGGCTCGGCTATAACTCAAACCTGTCCTTGCAAATGCAAGGCAGCAGTTAACGTAATTGAGGCGAGGAGCTTAATGAGCCCTCCAGAAAGAAAAAAAAAACCAACCCGCAGGTTTTTGGCTGTGCACAGGGAGCTGCAGCTGCGGCGGGGGCTCTGGGTAGTGCTGGGGATCCACCGCAGCTCTGGAGCACGATGGGCAGCCCCAGAAGGGCAAGAGCAATGGAAACCTCCCATTTTCAGGGCAGATGCTAACAGATACGTGAGGATTTTCCTCCTGGATGACACGCAGGACTGCAGTTTGTTGCCATGAAGCATCCAAAGGCCTCCTGATTGCACCCACCTTGTTTTCAAAGATGATTTCGATGAAAATCAGCAGTAGCTCCGTGAGGAAGATCACCAGAAGGACCCAGAAGAACTGAAAAGAGAAAGGGAAGGATTAGCCCTGCTCCAAGTCTGTCAGTGGTTAATCGCAACAAGGGAGACCTGGAAACCGAGAGCTGCTTTGAAACACTTGGAAATCAGATCATTTCATTACGAGCTCCTCAGGGAGCCGCAAATCTCTTCCGAAGATCTCAGTCCTAAGAGGGAAAGCAGTTTGCTCCCTTGTAGAAAGTGCGGCAGGAAGGAAGGAAGCAAGGAAGGATTGAAAAAAGAAACCAGATGCAATTTGAATGTCCACATTCTGCACGGGAAACAGGTAAAATGGATGCAGTGGGAGTAAACGTTAAAATCGCTGGGGAGCTATAGGTGTGCAGCACCCCTCTGCGATGGGATGCTGGCACTCGGTCAAACACTGATGTTTCCAGGCTGGGCATCCAATGGAGGATCATCCATCCCCCAGAGTACGGGCAATAACGTGTGCCTCTGCCAGAACTGATTGTGGCAACAAATTTAGGCTGGAGATCAATCTCCTGACGGAGCAAACGACTTAATCTAGAAGGTCTAATGTTCTCGCAGCCCACACCCATCAGCCCCCTAATGCTTTGGTCCCTAAACTGAGAGGTCCCATTGGGCATCGCATCCGACTTCGCAGAGGATGGAGAGCAAAGCTCTGCTCAGCTCACACTTCTCTTCCCAAGGCTACCTCCATCAGCGACTTTGGAGACTCGCCAGAAGAAGGAAGGTGGAAAGTTACCATGGTAACTAGCTAAAAATCCAAAAGCTAGTTAATAAAAGGGGGGGAAGAGGTAATTTATTACCACGATATTCACTTGGGCCACTGGTTTACCAGAATAGCCTGTTTACAAAGGCAGCTAGGGCAGGGCCCCACGTGCCCAGAAATTATTTCCCAAGCTCAGCAAAACCAAAGCACCGTTGGAGCAAAACCCCACTTTGCGCCTCAAACCACTGAGGTTTTTAATTAACCACCCACCGATGAGTTTTGCACCATACTTATTTGCTAAGAGCCAGCTAGCGTGGCCCCACGGGAGGAGCAGCACCTCTTTGATCACCAGCTAAATCAGCTCATAATGGGCCTGGTATAATTAGGCAAGGAATCCCATAATTAAGGAATACAATTAACCAGGCACCTGTTATCTCGTAGGCAGAGACGAGATATGCAAAACGCTGCACGCATCTAAACTGCTATAAAAAGAGGTTGCTTCGAGAGGAAAGACAAGGTGGTGCAGTTCACGGTTTTACCAAGCTGGGCACGCCTAGATCTTGCAATGCTGCAGCAAGAAAGAGAAATTCAATTTTGGAAATATTTTTGGTTTTCAATCTTAGTTAAAACCCAAGGGGGGGTTTTTTTTTGTGTGTGAAAAAACCGAGGGGGGGGGGGGGGGGGGAAGTGCTTTGTCCTCTGTTTAACCAGGAAAAAGTACAAACTCTTACCAATCCCACTGTGAGCAGAGATAAAAAAACATGGCTTCAAAGTCCAAGTGGGGACGACCGCCGTGCTCGCTGTCAGCCCACCGCACCAAGAAACGCCTAAAAATCAGCAGGATGCGCCACGCAGAGCCTTTCTTCTCACCAAACCTCTGAAAGCACCAACCCTGCAGCTCTTCCCATAAATCAAGAATTTTAGCCCAAGAGACCCCTCGTGCCGGTTGCCAGACGGTTTTTTGCTCTTTCTGGTGCTTTGGCCATCGCACACCACACACCTCTTTCTTTTGTCCCCCACACTATTTCCTTCTTTCGGTCTCAAGTTCTGCCGTACAGCTTGTCAAGTTGGGATATAAAAGGCGAGGCTTATGCAATACAACTCTGCCTGCTCTGTGCATATTGAAATCAAGGCCAATATTTAATACCCAGGTTTGATATCTCATTTATAAGCAAATGGAGGCATGTTGTACAGAAGTCCATGGGATGCCAGGTCTACCCGGCTATTAGAAAAATGATGACGGAAGGTGGCTTTCAAATGCTCCATCAGATGAGGTTTGCAGGTAGCAAACCCCACCGTTTCCAAGAGAGCAAGCCCAAAAAAGAGCTTAGCTCATGGTCTTTATAAATGGGGGGAAAGTGCCAGCATTAACTGGGAAGACAGACAGGGCAGATGCTGATTCCAATTCCTTCCAAGAGGGAAACTGCAAATCTGGGAAGTCACATAGGGGATGCCCAGCTCCTCCTGGACACCCCGCAACAGTAACCTCGCCTTCAGAAAGCCCACAATCTCCCTTGTAATTTATAGAGGATTTGCAAGAAAAGCAACCACAAACCCAGGTCTCCAGCACAAGCCTTGAAAACCGCCCAGCCCCAGTGAAAACCAGCTCTCCTTCCCCCAGTAACGGCCGCACGGAGGATGCAAACGCTCCCCGGCCGCACGGACAGGGCAGAAAGTGGCACTTTTTTTGCATTCACAAGGATTCCAGCAACCACCGGTAACTATATAGACTTTTAGGGGCGAAACTGCTGGCAACATCCATGATGGTCTCTTGTAACTGTGCATTGCAGCCCTTGCTGTCTGCCAGACCAAATAAATCAGCATTTTGTTCCTTAAAAAGACTCCAGCAGCGAAATAAAGGGCAATGCCCCACATTAAACAGCATTTAATCCTGCCGTGAGCTGCCCTAAGTTTGCAGCAAGTTCAAAATCACAAAGCAAGCAAAAACCAAAAAATAATCACAAAGCAGTACACCAAGGAGCTGGGTTTTCCCCCAATTTTTGCAAAAATTCACTCTTTGCATGGAAGTGGTGGCACGCAAGTCAGCGGCCGTGTCTCCATGGCGTGAGCCTCCGGCCGGGCTTCACCGCTCGCGTCCCCGAAATGCTGCGGAGGGGGGACCGGGAAGGTGCCCGAGGAGCTCCTCCATCACAAAGCACAAAGCAAAGCCCAGCTTTCACCGAGAGAAGCTCCCCAATAAAACGTTCATCTTGCTCAAGATGAAAATCGATCGGGGGAAAAGTTGCTCAATTCTCATTAAATTAACACTCCTCGCAGCCAGCTCCTGTTAAAGAGCTCATCACTCCAAAAGTTCACAGTAAATTATACTGCTTAATTCCCTCAAATACCTTGGCAAAAAGATAAATCACCCCCATTCCTGCGATCAGCAGAGCTCCAAGCTGCTCCTGCCCTCCTCTAACAAGCCTCCAGCCCCGTTTCGTTCATCGTTCGTCTCCCCCCAAGCCCAAGCGAGCGCAGCAGGCAAGCGCCCTGGCACCGCGTTCTGCCGCGGGTTTGGAGAGAGGTCTCCTGCCAATTTGGGGAATTGCCCCCTTCCTTAGGGTCATTTTACGTACACGATATATAGGTTGTCTGGAGCGGTCCCTTCCCATATGCCCTCTGGGCGCCTGCTTTTCTGCCACCTCCGTATGCCAGAGAGGATGTCTTGCCATCAAGTTTCATCTCCCAGAAGCTTAAAACCCCCCTGAAATTCTGAGTTGGTCCAGAGCAAACGCTTCCAGCCCTGGGTCTGGCTGACAGAGGGTGCAAACCTGCCGCTGCTTCGTTTCCAGACCGCGAGCAGCGTGCGGCCGCCTCCAATTTCCAGCTCGAACGTGTCCTCAACCAGGTAGAAAGAAGGAACAGGGGTCAGTGGTGGGTTGGAGGCACCGAGGCTGAGGGATGAATAAACCACACAGGGATTTATTTGGGAGCCAGCCCAGGGAAGGAGACTTGAGCCATGGAGAGAGGCTGAGCATCACTCCTGAGCTCAGATGCACTCAAGACACTGATGGCCATGGGAGGCTCAGACATGCCAAACCCAACTCCAGCTGGATTTTGGATGGGAGAGGGATGAGGCAGGGAAAGGAGGAGACGCAGCCGTAGGATGGAAGAGCTCCTGGAGCAACATGAAAGCACCAGAGAAAACTGTGATGTTTATTTAATGTGAGCAACCTCCGTCTGTGAAACGCAGATGTGATCTCACAGCATGGCCAGGGAGAGCGACCGGCCACCGCAACCACAGGGGAAAAAAGTTAAAGAGAAAAAAAAAAGGAAAATCTCCAAAAATCCTTATTTTCTAACCAGCGCCAGGAGTTCCCCATGCAGTACCCAGGGGCTGATTAGGGAAACTATTTTCTTCTTGATGATCCATTTCCTACTTCAGCTCAGTCACAGGAAAGGACAAGATAGTAAGAGCGGTAACAAGGACGACAATTTCTAGAGAGCCCATGATACCAGCCAAAAAGGAAAGAAAGAAACCTGTAAAGAGATTCCTGGGTGCTCTGCAGCAGGACGCTGGGAAAGCTGAGGCTGAAGATGCTGCTCTTGAATCCTTCTGCCCTCTTGATGAACTCAACATTAAAACGGTACAGGCAGATCATAAACAGCCGCCTAATTTAAGAAATCAAGGAGATTTTTTACAAAAAGTTACCGGTCATACTTAAAGGACTCTACAAGACCCATATAACGAGACCCTATAGAAGCGAACGGAGGTGCAATAGAGGGGTTTGAACCCCTTTGCGAAGGGTGGAGATAATTTTATCCTTGTTCCAGGCTCTAGAGTCACCACTAAACCCCTGAGGGAACAGGTGCGGTCTGCGTGCATGCAAACAACCCTCCCAGCATTTGATTTTTATCCATTTCTATAGCTCCTTTGTTGGAGAAGCAGCTAAGTCAGCCCCACGGAAGCCAATGCAAGAAAAGGGTTCGGACCTACTAATATAAAAGTGCCAACAGGTCATCAAAGGATGGAAAATCTGGACTTCCCATCCCCGGGATGAAAAGAAACCTGTGCAGTTTAATTTCTCTTCCTATGAAGCAGAAATGCCCCCGGTTCTGCACGCACAGGAGTTTCCAGGATGGCAGTCCCCATATTTTCGGGCATCTGGAGAGGGAACTCATCGTTCCCTCTTGATAAATGGGAACAGATCCAACATGCGGCCACGTGCAACGCACCCGATGCAGAGGTGTGCGTCAAGAAATCTTTCGCTACCTGGGAGGCCGCTAAATCATCCCCTTCACAAGTGCCTGCCGCCTCCTCTGCCACCCTCCAGACCAGCCACGGAGTCATCCTCGTTTCACGTGAGCACAGA